CTCCGCCGTGTGAAAGCCCACCATATTTACTGACGCTCAGGTTATTCCGAATTTAAGTCTCCATCCCCCGAAATATAAAAAGCCTGCGTGCTTAAGCCTATGTGCTTGTTATCGGACAGGCATTTATTAAGGCAGCTACGGGGATTCCGACAGCTCAGACGACTGAGACGAGTGACGATAATTAATAGTCACTGCGGCAAAACAATCCAACATAGCCACTGTCGTAGGTGAGTGTGCTGCTGTTCTTTGTCGTCTTTCAGAGGCTGTTCAAGCCATTGAAGACCCTAGTTCTTAAATTGTTCTTTTCAGTGCTCTTGCACGGGTCCTCATAAGGTTTGACAGTCCTGACAATAGCAGCAACATCCGCTTTCATCGACCAGTACGAGTAAAAAGAAGTGCCGGTTTTACGTGCTGTAAAATTAAACTTATCCAATTCTTAAGGAGTTCTTTTCATTCCACACTTTTACCACTTGGACAATTATAAATAGAAGGCTCAGGATTTCCTTTATTGTTGCTAAAACAACCAGGAACACAACGCGTAAAACCGCCACTTTTACTCGTTCTGGTCGATGAAAGCGAACTGTTGCCGTTACTTTCAGGACACCCAAACCTCTGAAGACCCGTGCAATAGTTCTTAAAAAGACTAGGGTCTTCATTGCCTTGAACAGCCTGTAAAGGACGACAAAGGACAGCAGCGCATTCACCTACGACAGTGGTCATGTTGGGTTGTTTTCCCCCTGTGACTAAGACCAGAATTCCCCGCGCGCATCACGCCTTGTGACGTCATTATGCATAAGATCTATTAATGATAATGAAAATTAGATCTTAACCAATTAGATTGCAGTTATTTTATATAATAAGACTTGTAATTCTTACCGCAATTCCATTAGACGGTTTTGCATAAGATTGATCACCATCATATGAATATAGACCATAATCCAAATCAAAGCTATCTCTACGACCTTCCCAATTTTGCCATCTATGACTAGCCCATTTTCCTCTGCGTTTATTATAAATAATCTGTAACGTGATAATAATGTAATGTAACATTAAATATCCTAGAATCTACCTTCGGTAGATTCTTTAGAGACAAAATGGAAATACAATTGTCAAGCCAACATATTCGGTCCCAAAAGCATCCTTTTCAACTGCCATTTAAATTCACGCTTATCAGAATTAGAAGAGATGTAAAGTATACACTTACCAAAATTGAAACGAAAACCAGAATAAGAAGTGCGACACCAAGACACACAATCAAAACAATCTCCCAGGTTTCCAATCCATCATTATCCTTTGACGCGCTCTTTTTAGCGACGTCAAAACTTTCAATAGCAAACGGTGTTGATCCATTAGCTATTGCTTCAGCGATTGGTTCGCGAATCTCCTGAACTGTTGGAGTTGCCACAGTTGAATTAAATATTATATCAATATCTGCAACAATACTTCCTGGAGAAAACGAAATAATGATAACACCAAGAAACCCAGGTTTATCTTGGTATAATGCATTAAAAAATAAGCGAAACCTCATTGCCAAATTTCTAAAAGCCGTACTGTTCGGGTTCCGAAGGTCAGGGTCGAAGGTTTCATTAATTTTTATAGCAAGTTTGTATGTAACAGCCTGAGGTAGAGACGAAAACACCAGAAGATTAATTATGGAAGTTGCTGCTGTACTTGCTGCTGTTGCATCAGTTACCATGGCTGAGGTCAGTGTTGTTGTATCTTCTGCTGAGGTCGGTGTTATTGTATTTCCTGCTGAGGTCGAGGCTGTTGTTGTTGCATTTGCTGGTTGGGTTTGTGTTGTTGTATTTGCTGCTAAAGTCGGTGCTGTTGTATTTGGTCCTGAGGTAGGTGTTGTTGTATCTGATGTTGGAGTCGGTGTTGTTGTATTTGCTCCTGAGGTTGATGATGTTGTATTTGCTGCTGGAGTCGGTGTTGTATTTGCTGCCGTAGTCGGTGTTGTTGTATTTGCTGCTGAGGTCGGTGTTGTTGTATTTGTTCCTGAGGTTGATGTTGTATTTGCTGCCGGAGTCGGTGTTGTTGTATTTGCTCCTGAGCTTGATGTTGTTGTATTTGCTGCCGGAGTCGGTGTTGTTGTATTTGCTGCTGGAGTCGGTGTTACTGTATTTGCTGCTGGAGTCGGTGTTGTTGTATTTGCTTCCGGAGTCAGTGTTGTTGTATTAGCTGCTGACGTCGGTGCTGTTGTAGTTGCTGCTGGAGTTTGTGTTGTTGTATTTGCTGCCGGAGTCAGTGTTGTTGTATTTGCTGCTGAGGTTGGGGCTGTTGTAGTTGCTGCTGGAGTTGGTGTTGTTGTATTTTCTGCTGGGATTTGTGTTGTTGTATTTGCTGCTGAGGTTGATGTTGTTGTATTTGCTGCTGGAGTCGGTGTTGTTGTATTTGCTCCTAAGGTTGATGTTGTATTTGCTGCTGGTGTCGGTGTTGTTGTATTTGTTGCTGAGGTCGGAGCTGTTGTTGTTGCTGCTGGGGTTTGTGTTGTTGTATTTGCTGCTGGGGTTTGTGTTGTTGTATTTACTGCTGAGGTTGATGTTGTTGTATTTGCTGCTGGAGTCGATGTTGTTGTATTTGCTGCTGTAGTCGGTGTTGTTGTATTTGCTGCTGAGGTCGGGGCTGTTGTTGTTGTTGTTGTTGCTGGGGTTTGTGTTGTCGTATTCGCTGCTGAGGTTGGTGTTGTTCTATTTGCTGCTGGAGTCGGGACTGTTGTTGTTGCTGCTGAGGTCGGTGTTGATATTGTGCCATTTTGTTCCACACTCCCTTGTGTAACTGTAAGATTTAGAACAGTAAAAGGCGTAGATCCATTATCTATTGCTTCAATAATTGGTGCCTCAATTTGCTGAACAGTTGTATTCGCCGCTTCTGTTGTGTTGAATAATACTTCAATGTCTGCTACAGTACTCCCTTCCGAAAATGAAGCAACGACAACCTTTAGAAAACCGGATAAACGTCGGAAAAGTGGTTCCAAGAAGGCGGTAAATCTAGCACTCGTATTTATAAAAGCCTCACTTTCAGGGTCTTTAATTCGGGAACAAATTGCTCATCAATTGTAATAAAGACTTGGAATGTTGCTGTTATTGTTGCTGTGTTCGCGGCTGAGGTCGTTGTTGTTGTTGTTGTTGTATCTGAGGTCGGCCCTGTTGTTGCATTTGCTGCGGGGGTCGGTGTCGTTGTATTTACTGCTGATGTTGGTGTTGTTGTAGTTGCTGTGGGGATCGGTGTTGTTGTATTTGTTGCTGAGGTCAGGACTGTTGTTGTCGTTGTATTTCCTGCTGTGGTTGGTGGTGTTGTATTTGCTGTTGAGGTCGGTGATGTTGTATTTGGTTCTGAGGTCGGTGTTATTGTGTTTGCTGTTGTATTTGCTGCTGGAGTCGGTGTAGTTGTATTTGCTGCTGGGGTCGGCGTTGTTGTATTTACTGCTGATGTTGGGACTGTTGTTGTTGCTGCTGAGGTCGATGTTAATATTGTGCCATTTTGTTCCAAATTCTCTTCCGTAACTGTTAAATTTAGAACAGTAAAAGGCGTAGATCCATTATCTATTGCTTCAATAATTGGTGCTTCAATTTCCTGAACAGTTGTATTTACTGCTTCCGTCGAGTTGAATAATATTTCAATGTCCGCTACTGTACTCCCTTCCGAAAACGAAGCAACGACAACCTTTAGGAAACCAAATAAATGTCGGTATAGTGGTTCTAAGAAGGCGATAAATCTAGCACTTGCATTTCTAAAAGCCGCACTTTCAGGGTCTTCTAATTCGGGAAAGAATGGCTCATCAATTGTAATAACAACTTTGAATGTAACTGTTATTGTTGTTGTACATGTGTTCGTGGGTGAGGTGGTGGTCGTTATTGTCGTGGTTGTTGTTGTAGTTGTATTTGCTTCTGAGATCGGCCCTGTTGATGTTGTATTTGCTGCGGGGGTCGGTGGTGTTGTTGTACTTGCTGCTGGAGTCGGTGTTGTTGTATTTGCTGCTGAGGTCGGTGTTGTTGTACTTGCTGCTGGATTCGGCGTTGTTGTATTTCCTGTTGAGGTAGGGACTGTTGTTGTTGCCGCTGGGGTTTGTGTTGTTGTATTTGCTGCTGAGGTCGGTGTTGTTGTACTTGCTGTTGGAATTTGTGTTATTGTATTTGCTACTGTGATCGGCCCTGTTGTTGTTGTGTTTGTTGCGGGAGTCGGTGTTGTTCTACTTGCTGCTGGAGTCGGTGTTGTTGTATTTGCTGCCGAGGTCGGTGTTGTTGTACTTGCTGCTGGATTCGGCGTTGTTGTATTTCCTGTTGAGGTCGGGACTGTTGTTGTTGCCGCTGGGGTTTGTGTTGTTGTATTTGAGGTCGGTGTTGTTGTACTTGCTATTGGAATTTGTGTTGTTGTGTTTGCTACTGTGATCGGTGCTGTACTTGTTTCTGTTGTATCAGTTACCATTGCAGAGGTCGGTGTTGATATTGTACCATTTTCTTCCGCACTCTCTTCTGTAACTGTTAAATTCAGAACGATAAACGGCGTAGAGCCATTCTCTATTGCTTCAATAATCGGTGCTTCAATTTCTTGAACAGTTGTATTCGCTGCTTCGTTTGTGTTAAATAATACACCAATATCTGCTACAACACTCCCTTCCGAAAACGACAACCTTTAGAAAACCGGATAAATGTTGGTATAGTGGTTCCAAAAAGGCAATAAATCTAGCACTCGTATTTCTAAAGACCTCACTTTCAGGGTCTTCTAATTCGGGAAGGAAGGGCTCGTCAATTCTAATAACGAGTTTGAATGAAACAGAGTCCTCATCTCCTATCATTGCTACAGAGGTTGAAGTCATTGTTGTTGTGTTTGCAGCTGTAGTTGCTACTGGAGTCAGTGTTGTTGTATTTCCGTCTGAGGTGGGGGTTGTTGTTCTATTTGCTTCTGAGTTCGGTGTTGTTGCTGTTGTATTTGCCACTGAGGTCGATGTTGGCGTTGTGCTTGCTCCTGAGGTCGGTTCTGTTGTGTTCGCTGCTGAGGCTGTTTTTGGACCATCTGTGATTAGTAAAAAATATTATTGAATGTTTCATCAATGGTATTCAAGAGCATAATTTATATAAGTTCATGGGCGACTAAAATAAATCAACACATTTGATTGAATTAACGTCAGAAACAAGCACCGAATAGAAGTTCCATCATCTTGAAAATCAACTATTGGATAGGAGGACACAAGATTCGGCAATCGTAATATGTAGTATTAATATAAATATAGGTACACGACGAGCCATCGCATTTTGGGCTGAAGAGTGATATTGTCGGGTGTGCTGATTGCTTATGCTCCGCACCCATCACATGATTAGCAGATAATTAGCATACAGTTATTCGAGATGCCGTGACAATATAGCACCAAGTTTGTTTGAGGAAAGTATGCAAATATTTTCGAGTAAGTGCTCTGTTATATATACAAGCAATATTATGTCATGAAAGTGCGGACAACGACGCTTCCACTATAACTGTAAGGGATCGACGTCAAAAAACGTATCGATTAAATTGAAGAAAAAAATCTTTTTGCCAGTACTAGCTTTTATGCCACTTTTATGCCAAAATTACCGAAGGGAATGTTTAATTAAAATAGCCGTGAAAAGGCACATTTTGCGTTTTATTCTAAGCACGCTGTTGCCGTGCAATTGTAACGGACTTCCAACACAAAGCTTTTAGGGACCAGTCAAATATTGAACATTTTTTAGAGCCGCCCCAATCGAAAGACCTTTATCGAAAGACCTTATTTATTACGACCCACCTTCATCTAGAAAGGTTGGAAAACACTCTTCCTCCAACATTTAATTTGTTACAAGGACTCTATTTTAACTCAAAATACGATTAAAACTTTTCATTAAACTTCGTGTGCAAATCATTTTTAGTTTGTTGGCAAAGAAACACCCCCCCCCCCCAGCCCTGGTTTACACAATTTGCGTTCTAGAATTTTTTTACATTCTACATTATAAGTACCAAGTTTTTTTTCATTATTCTACATTATAAGTACCAAAAATTGGATACTAATAGCTGTTTTGCGAAATTGAGAGTAATTTTAAAATCTGTTCAGTTTTTTTTACACCCTGTAGTGTAGTACACAATCTCGTTCCCCGAGCCTGCGATCCTCGGCAGTGCCTTTTTTAATGAATTTTCACTGGGGGGGGGGGG